AATCCTACGAAATCCTAAACCAATACACCCCCCTAAAATGACAGAATGGAAAATTTTTAATATTTTAACAAAATTAAAATTATAATATCTAGGAACATATTTCTAGTATATGAATATAAATTAACAACAATGAAGGTTCGATAGATTTTATAAAAGGGATAGGTTCTAAAGACCACTCAAGATATATGCAATTGAAATTAAAGTATATATTGATGTTAATAAGAAAAAGTGTTTATTTATAAAATTGATTAAAAAAAATTAATGATCAATTGAAACAAAATTAAAATTCATACTATCTATTTATAAATGAAATAAAATTTGAGGATTAACTATGATGAATTAAAGCTTAGAATATGTATTTAAAAATAAGGAGAGTTATATAATTAAGTACTAATTTTCCTTATGTAAATTAGCATTTCTAACTTCAAGAGTGCATTTTTTTTATATACTTTTTCTCATTTAAATATTCAGGAATTCCCTCTCTCTCTCTCTTCTATGCATTTTCCGTATTTTCTTGAGAATTACCCAAAAACATATTTATCTCAAATTACCATCCTTTTATTTTTTTATATACCATACTTAATTTTCAATCTAATTTAATTTAAAAATATCTTATATTACAATTTAAATTATTTATTATAAATTCAAAATATAATTTATAGTATCTGAATTATAATTATAATATAGTTAATAAGTTCAAAATTTTATTTAATAAGAATTATATTATAAGTATATACAAATAAATAATTATCCGGTACAATAAACGAACCGAAATATTAATTTATGCGTAAAATAGGATTTTCTGTAAAATTAATTTTTAATTCAAAACTAGTTTCTAATTTTAAATAAATCACTTTAAAATGCTTCATAAAGTTTAAAAATAGTTTTAAAAATGAATTCCGTAAAAAATGTTTAAAAAAAAAAACTGATTTTAGTTATGAGATAAGCATTGTATTCATGACTAAATTTTGTGTAAAACTGATAGCAGGTCCACATATAAATAATGACTTAGCATTATTGTTTTCAACAAAACTTTATATAAAACTTGAGATATTGTCGAAAGAAAAAGAAAAGTTGAGAAGAAGGTGGTGGGCTCGCCGGCAAGGGAATAATGTACAAGTCCAGCCAAATTCCAAAACACCGCTTAAGTGGTCCTCATGTCCAATATCAATTTCATAAAGCCATAACAATTTCTTTTTTAATTTATTTATAGTTTTATTCCACCAAAATGCCAAAATCAATTTTATCTAACTTATTCCACCTAATATTTGAAATTAATGTTGATGCATTATGCATAGATATCAAAATTCTGCCGACAATTTTTTATTTTTTATAATTAGTGATAGTGTGAGACTTAATCTGGACAAGTCAGAAAATCGATGAAGTAAAAAAATATTAAAAAAACAGTTAAATTTTAGTATATATGTATTTGAGTTAGAAAATTAATTTAAATAGACTCAATTAAAGACTTATTTTTTATTTTTTAAAATAAATAAACACTTCTATATAAATTTTGTGTGTAAATTATTACTATTTAATCTTTTATTATAATAATTTTATTATATGAATATTTGATAATGTATTTTTATATTAATTTGTAATTTTATATTAACTTATTTTTTTAACATATCATATAATATTAAAAATATATTTAATTAATACTGATTCGACATAAGTGAACTAATATTCATAAAATGCAATATGTTTTTTTTTTTTAACTTTAATCATCGCTAGTGTGATAGCTAGACTTATCAGTATTAGTCCGTAAACCTATTAATTAGTCTACTTAATGATAAGTTTGTTAATATGTAAATTTATAATAAACTTATTTAGACTGACTATCGTCAACTTATTTAAAATCTTGATATATATGAAAGAAATCTTTAAATATGTTAAATAAGACTAAATTTATTTATATAAAGGTTAAGTCAGGCGAAACCTAAATAAAAACAAAAAACAAAAAAAAAAAAGATTCACAAGAGACTAATAAGCTTAAGCCAGAAAATTAATTATAAACAAATCAGGTCAAAGTAAACAAAGCTCAACTTAATTACATGCAAAATAAAAATTAGTGGTTGCTCCACATTTCCTTGGAGGCATGATTTCATCTTATCATGCGTTTAAAAGTATTTGTGTTGCATTTGAAAGGGTTCAATTCAATGGATGACAAAAAACAGTGCAAGTGATGCACGTTTTTGTTTAGGGATCTTTGTCTGTTATTATCATGATAAGATGAAATCATGCAAAGCTTGAATTTAAGCCACATGGTTTTCTTTTGGTTGTATTAGCCACCAAATATTGACACTATTAATATAATCAAACGGCAAGATCAGCTGGTAGCACTAGTACCACTCAATTTATGGTCCCCGTATTATTAATATTAGACTTTAGATCATACTAAAATAATTTTATTTTTTTTAAGAAAATGTAAACTTATAAAACTTTCTGTAGATTCCCAACTGATTGTTACCATTTCAATCTAAGTAACTTTGAAATTGATGTTTTATTCTGAAGCCGTTAGTTTAACTCTAATCATTATGGATGAGAATGATTTAACCGACTAGCTAATCCAACTCAGCTAAAGATAACTTTTGATAGGTTTTGATTTTAAAATTATATTTTAAGTGTTTAATTATGCTTTTCGTCTTCTCAACTTGATTAGTGTCCAATATTTACTTGAAAAGTACAAGTTGTATTAATTAAGAAAGTACAATCTTTAATCAAATACACTTCTCACAATTTGTTGGCTACAAAGCTTAGGTTTAGTACCCACTAATACTTTCTGTTAGGAAAAGGAAACTTTCCCCCCTTACCAACTTTACCATAGGATTTATAGTCTGCCTGTCCCTAGTGATCAATCTTTTGCAAAAAAATAAAAATAAAAATAGAACATTAATTGTAAGCAGTTTGACAACTCGAACCCACCAATACATATGATCTATGCCTTGTAATAAATAAACTACACAATTGATCTTATTTGACAATGTAACTAAACTTTTTTTTTATCAGTTGTTGATACGATTCTTCAATAACATATAAACTGAATTTAGTATGTAAGGACCCTTGAACAAACTCAGTTGCTCTCTCAAGTCAAATGTAAAATTTCACAGCAAGCAAGGAGTTGAAATTGGTTCCTTATCAAAAAGCTATGAGATTGGTTCCTAATCATAAAGCTATGTCGCATATGGCTTACTCTTGTGTAATTTAAATGAACTCTTGACTTACCTTACCTCTGTAAAACCAAGTTTTTGGGAACTTACTCTGATCATCATGTTAAGAACAATTTTTCTTGGCCAGCAAGTGAAACCAAATATAAAGGGATTACTTGGATTATTAGCAGTAATTATATGAATGAAGTGCACGTGGATCGTGTTACCAGTACCACAATGGACGAAAGTTTTTTCCCTGAATGGAATGTCAAACCAGGGTGCCATGGAGCAGAAGATTTATGTACAAGTCAGACCAAACATATAACATGAAAGAACCATCTTTAGTATATAATGATTTCACTCAATTATGAGGAACATCAACAAAATATACCAATAAAAAAATAATATAAACAAGGTGATTGAAATTTGATTTTAATTAACAAAGATTTACAATACACGTGCGCAAGGAAGTTTAGAATCACAAGCAAGATTACGTTAAAAATTGAAAAATAAATGTATGAAATAAATTCCATTTATCAATTTGAATGCAAATGAAGCCTCTCTTCAGCTGCTCTCACACCCTCCATCTTCAACATTCCAAGTAAGAAATCGCTCCATGTATCTATAGGACCAGGCAAGCACCAATGCACACAATCATTGTACAATGTCACATTTTCATTAGGCCAATGTCCATATCTACTAGGGTGACCATCTGGTCTCAACAATGATGCTTGTGTGATATCAAGCAACCTATAATTCAAACCCTTTTTTCTAGCTTCCTTCTCAGCAATTTTGAACTCCTCCAATTGAATCATATAAAACTCCAAACTAAGGCCCTCTAATTGTGTCTCATTGCACTCCAAACTAAGGCCCTCTAATTGTGTCTCATTGCTCTTGAATGGCCTAGTTCTAATGCAATTCCCACCCTCATTCCACAAGCCATTCTCAAAATGAGATGGGGCAAATGTCCTAAGAAACACTGTCCCTTTAAAGTTTTCTAATCTATTGATGGCTCTAAATGCTGTCCTGAAAGCCTTTCTGTAGCCATAGTACATGGTTAAGTCAGGGACATTTTCTACGAGGCAGTAGTGGCATCCAACAATTTTTTGTTTCTCATAGAACACCATTGACCGAGTAAACCAATGTCCCCCGTTGAGAATGACATAGTCAAAATCTTCAATTTGGGTTATCCACTTTTCATCTGGCTCATCAAGGTAAAGGTTGCAAAGGCCAGTTGGGCCTGGACCCTTTGAATCTGCTTCTTCGGATTTGACTAAATGTGTGGTCCAAAAAGCAGCCATGGTAAAGTTGTAACTTGGGTACCTCCACCGCATAAAATAGTCATCTCGTTTATATGATACATCTATGGGCCATTCCACCTGACAAGTTTGAAAAACCATGATTTAAAGGGATTTTCCTAATAAAAATAAAAGTTCGATGACTGTCGCTAAAACTACAATTGATGAAATAAATTGAAAAATTACAATTTTTGGAACGTTCCACCATTAAATTAAGAGAGATTAATTGTAATTTTGGTACATTTCACCTTAAATCAATAGACTAATTAAATAAAATGCCAGATTCACCAAAACTTGTAACTTTCGATAAATCTAGAAAATGTTAGATAATTTCTTCACCAAGTATTTAAAGAGTAAGAGTGGTAAATGAGGTAATTGTACCAAACAAAGCAGAAGTTTCGTTTCTTTGAAATGTGAATACTTGTTATTGTACAATAGTGATGTGATACAATATTTAATTTATATGTGATGCACATAGTTTTACAAGAGAAAGACTAAAAAGAAAAGAAAAAAAAAGAAGATAAATTTAAGATAAAATAAATATAATATAGATTATAAAAAAAAACTAGTAGTATATTATAAGGACGTGTTATGAGAAACTATTGCAACACTTCTAAAAGTTATAGTTAGGCTTCAAAATTATACTCCTTTTTGCAGGAGTCCTTTCCAAGCCATCTTCGTACTATATAGGTACTGCTTTGAAACTCCTAAACCTTGGCCAAGTTTTCCAATTATTTTATGCGTAACATCACTTTTAGAACCATTCCTTTTAGCCCCCTTTATTATCTTAAGTCATGTTTTTCTGTTCCCGGTGAAAAGGAAGTTAAGAATCCCTGCATGTTACAAACTCGGAGGATCCAGCTCATAGCTATATATATTGTTTACATGTGAACTTTTCCGCAAAAGACACACAAATGGATGACTAATCTCATTAATAATGCTTTACGCTAATGCCAATAATACATTATGATATACATCACTTTTGTATTTAGAGTAAATAAAATAATCCAGTGGTCCCATCTGGCCTCTTATCTTGGATTCCCTTCAAACACATACTAATATGAAATTTTGTCCATGCAAATATATGGATTTGGTTTGGGCAACCTTTAATTTGACATTGATTATTTGATTTCATATTTATTCAACCGACGACTTAGCCCAATGAGAATTCCTAATGTTATCAAGAGTGCTTGACGTGCACAAAAGCATTACTAGTTTTTCTACTTTCAGAAATGTGACCTCCCAACCAGATCTATTATTTTGGTTTAGCTTCAAACAATTATTGAACTCTCCAACAAAGACCACTTTTAGTTCTCTCCTTTGATAGCTTAAACCTATATAATATATAGCAAATCCAAACCACTTGATTTTGTTATCTCTCGATCCTTATATATATATATATATATATATATATATACACAGAAGACTCTTCTAATCAATTTATAACAATTAAAGAATATAAGTTTGTTTAATTTTTTTACAAGTTAATTTAATTAATAATATTAAATTTGTCAATAGTTCATAACTTTTCTGAACTACACTAAAATCATTTAAAATTTCATTTTCAATCTCTATCTACAGCAAAGATATTTTTTATTAAAAAATGTAAAAAATAAGTAAGAAGGAATCTTATAAAAAGGAAGAAGACAAAATTCTAAAAGATTTTTTTATAAAAAGAACCATAATAAACAACCACTTAGCTAATAGCCCTATATGCAAATGGGTTGGAATGTCATAAGACAATCTGACATAAAACAACAAGAAGCTGGGGCATCTCTTGTTTTGTTTTGTGTTTTTTTCCCTTCCTGTGTCATATAAGAGAGATACCCTCCAACACATATATAGTTATGTACATTTTATGTGTGTCACATATATACTAAATTATGAGTTTTACATATTCTTTGTTTGATTTTTTTTCATAATTTGGCCTAAGAATGAAGTGTTAATATAACCCCATCTTATAATTAAATGTGAAAGCTCAATTCTCAACCATTTCCCCTTTCTGGTTTGTCAGGACTTGGAACAATTATTGCATACTGTAGTGAAAGTTGACATGGACTCTTTAAAATACACATATACATAATCCAGTAGAATGAAAAATACTACCACCATCAACAGTGCCAAGTTACTGTCAGGGTAGCTTCGTGTATAAGCTAAAATGTGGGAGTGATACTACTACTGTTGAGTATTGAGTGCTGCACAAGTATAGTATGAGACATCAAATTTGGATATAGTAACTAATTTTTCGGTTCAATAATTTTTTTAAAAAATCGTTTTGAAATTTTGACAAATTTAAGTCTAGTTAGATATAAATATACTTGAAGGGACAAAAACTAGACCACATTTTTTTCTTAGTGCAACAAATTACTACAATCGGGTTGATAAAGTTTGATTATTTTGGTGTAACTTGCAATTTAATTTACCAACACTAAATTAAGGTTAGACATTTTCTTTCATGTGGTAGACACAGAGCGTGCGGTTGGCACAGTTTCCCGGGAAAAGATTCGATTTCTTGGCATGCATGCTTTATGCTTCCATGCATGTTACTTCCATCTGCTTTTTTACCTAATCCTTGAATATCATAATGGGCTTAGGTGAACTAACTAGCTACTAGTAAAAGGAGAAGGTATGTTATATATAATCGAAATGGAAATTTTGTATTTATATAATTTTTATTTATAAAAATGAGTACAGTAAAGTAAGAAATATTTGATAAGTTGATTGATGTGAAGTGTTATACAATATTACTATTATATGAATAACAACTCATCGTAAAAAGAGTTGGGATAAGGTCAAGGACACTTAGGACTTAGAGTAAACCGAATAGTGATAAAGTGTTACATAGCACTCAAAAATAAGATTTAATTATTGGTGAAATAATATGCTGAGAAAAAGTTAAAATAGACTTCTTTGTAATTTTGGCTAAAACCATATATTGATGTCTAATCTTCACGAGTCTACAGATTAAAAGAATAGTAATGATGTTTGTTCACGGATTTGAAATCCCACCTTCTCCGCTGCCAATATTTTAACTAAAAAATTTACAAACTTAGATTTCCATAAAGGATCGGTATTATTTAATTATTAAGATATTCATGGCTCTGAATTTCAGGTAAATATATAAGCTTGTCATGTAAATCAGATCTCAGACTCATTTTAAAGTTTAGTCTAAAGTTTATAAATAAATTTTTATTTTTATTTTACTTGAGTTCTTACTTTTAATAATCTAATTGTATAGAAGTTATGGAAATACCAAAATATTATGTACAAGATAAAAATAATGTCATGCTTCACAAATTATTAATAAAAATAAAACATAATTAACTTCTTTTTTCCAATTAAAAGACCGTTATTTAATTAATATTTTTCTTATAAAAAACTAGCTAGCTAGCTGATATGCTCTCAGCGGATCAAAAACTCACTTCATAATACTCTCCCCATAAGATTAAAAAGTATTAATTTGTGAACCAATAAAGCCTGTATATCATATTATCGGTTAAAAATATTAGAGAGAACAAATAAAAATAATAAAATAGAAAAATTAAGAAAAGTAGTTGTAGTGTTGTGGATAGAACCACCTAATCAATCATCCTTGATATAAAAAATAAAAAAGAAAATTATATGATGTGAGTAAGGAAGAAAAGAGAGTTACCCTTGAAAGGAGGCAAATCATGGACTGCATCTGATTTCTTCCAACCGAGTCTCCAACAAATGCCAAGGATTTTCCCCTAAGAATCTCGAGAAACTGGAAGGGATTGAACACAGGCAGTTCACATCCATTTGGCTTCCACTTCCACTTCATGTACTCAGAGTCTGGTCTTCCATACTTCATGCAGTTCTGATGCTCATGGATTGCCCAGCATGTTTTGTTTGTGTAATATGGGGCCTTTGGGTTTGGCACCCATTCCCCAGTGAAAATGTCACACTTCTTGATGGAAGTTGAGGGCAGGCTTGCTGACTCGTTCAGATCATCAAATGCTGAGGATGGTTGCTTGGAGTACTGCTTGTTCTTCACAGATGAAGAAGAGTGTCTGAACAAAGGGTAGGAGAGTGGGGTGACAGTGAATAGCAGTATGGCAAACACTGCGAGTAAAGTCACTTTCGGGATCATTTGTTTTGGGGTGCTTTTGCCAAACAGAAGCTCTATGACTTGGAACTTCATTTTGGAAGGAGGGAGAAAGAGAAACAGCACATGAATGGGGTAAGAAGGGAATACGCGTTTAGTAGAATGAAGGACTTTTGCTTATATATATAAGTTAGTAAATGAACTTATAGGTTAATTTATACTATTAACTAATAAAAATTATTATTCTCACGACTTTTAAGAGATATTTAATAAATAAAAAAATTCATGTTAAAAATTAATATTTTTATTACATTAAATGAGTAAATAAAAATAACATGATATATTTATTAAAAATAATTTTTTTTAATTAGATTTTTACCTATTTACATATGAAAAAATTTGTAATAAATATAAATAAAAAAATTTTCAAAAAATATTATTTTCTAAAATATTGTTTTTAATTAATAAAAAAATTAACTTTCTCAACTTATAATTTCTTGAAAAATAAAAATAATTTTTTCCTTAAAATAATTATCATAAAATATAACAAGTTATTAAATATAATTGGAATTGAATATGATAATATTAAAATATAATTAAATCTCACATTTTTTTAACAAGAAGATGCACATATATTTATATATGCATATAGTTTATATTGAAATTGAGATTTTTTGGATGATGATAAAAAATTAAAATTGTGAGAAAATAGATACAAGGTAAATAATATTTTATTATTGTGAAAATATATGTATAGAAACCTCCAATAAATAATAGTATAAAATAGTTTTATATTAGGTAGACTAGTTTGTCTTATTTTATTTTCGACTTATGATCGGTTAGACATGAGGAAGTTTCTTGGTGGCAAGGTCTTTCTAAATTGGATGGCTCCTAATTACAATTACACTTAAATATTATTCGTGAGGTTTTGGTTATTTCCACACATGCATGATGATTAACTTTTGATATTTTGGCTTGTCCCCCTCGTTGTATCTATATATCTCCCCCCATGCGTTTTACGCCACGCTATATCATATTTGGAATAATTGTCATTTTCTATGTCCTACTATAACCTTAATTACGCAAACATATAGTAATTAATTTATTAAAACAGGTCCTCTTTCTATTTTATTAAAGCATATATAGAGGAAGAGCATGCATATATTTCTATAACAACACGTACATCGAATAATATTCAAATGTCTTATTTGTACGTCAGCAGCTAATTATGCAGAGATGGAGCAGGTAAATGATGGTCATTATGATATGTTCAAGTGTTGACTTATTGAGTTTTGCCTTTTATTTTGTTAATAAAAATTACTGACATCTATATTTTAAGAATAATAATATTTTCAAACCTCGTGAAGGAAAAATGGGTGTGGAAAACAAAACAACAACAAAAATTAAAAGATAAGAGTATAATAATTAATTTAATAAAAAAATACATAAGAGTTTAATTTTTTTTTAAATAGTTTAATTTTATGCACCATAAATATTTTTATAATCGATTAATTCAAAATTTATAATATTTCTTTTAAAGTAATCATTATAAATCAATTAGCCAAAAAAAATGACATCCTATAATTATTATTTTATGACAGTTTGAGTAAAATATAAAAAAGATAGTTCATATATTTCAGTTGCACTTTAAATAAATTAGAGAATTATTAAAAGAGATATCTCTTTATAGATAAACTCGTTATATATATGATAATATCTGATAAGATAATAGTAAAACAGGTCTGAACCCTAAATACATTTATATTAGATTTAGAGAAAAATATGTTAACACTACTAGAATTTCTCTTATCTGCAGGTAATAATTTCGTGGATAATATATTTTTGTAAATTTTAAAATTCACAAGAAATTTCCTTGCGAAAAAATTCGCAGGAAAGTTTACTGTGAATTTTTTCGCAAAAAATTCTGCAGGAATATTTTTTACGGAAAAAATTAAAGAAATTATTATAAATTCTATCAAATAATTTTTCATCTTTCAAATGCTCACAATGAATTCATCTGAAGTATTTATTTCCATTCCTCTAACATGTGATACATAATCTTTTAAATTCTAATATTGTAGATTATAAACTAACACTCAACCATACAAATCAACTTGTAAGGTAAGTGTTGCCCCAACTTATATACTCTTTGATTATTTTATTTTCAATCGATGTGGGACTTGAAGTTTTTTTTTTAAATATTAAACTTATAAATTTAAATGTTTTTTTTTTGTTTTTCCTGCAGATTAAAATTTGCAGGAAAATTCCCCGGAAAAGTTACCTGCAAAATTTTTCTACTATTTTGTAAACATTACTTGCGAATTTATTTTCGCAATAAAAACTGCAAGAAACAAAATAAAATTCTTACAATATTTTATGCAAATTTTTACCATAGAAAAAAAATTTTATGATCATTAAAATTGTAGCAAAATTTGTAAGAAATATCTGTAAATTATTTTTTTGCAAATAAATTCGCAAAAAATTTCTGTGAATTTTTTTTGCAGGAAAATTCGCAAAAAATTTCTACAAATTTTTTTGCAAGAAAATCCGCAAACAAAATCCCGCGAATATTTTTTTATAGGAAAATGACATTTTTCTAGAAGTGGAAAAAATAAATAGTTTTTTAAATTTACAAATTAGACCTACTTGTCAAGTTTAAACTGGTAAACTACTTGAAGATCTGAGATCATTCATGGAATGCATATTTCATCACGGACCAGGTGAAATATTATTTGGGTTCTAAAGGTTCAAGGATAAATTACACAATTTGTTTTACTTAATTGGTTCAGGACCTTCAGATCTCATTGAAAGTATCAACTGTCAAAGCTCAAGAGTCAAAACTTTCAGACATTCAGGAATATAACCAAGCTTGCACCTCAGAGTTTCAGATCCAGATCTCTATATCCTGATATAAAGAATTATAAATTCTCTCATATACTATTATTCTACTGATATTCTTTTTTGGTAAATAGCAAATGCATTTTTTTATAATATTAAATATATTTATTTTTATTTGATATTTTAATTATAAATTAGGATAATTTCATTACTAGAAATGTACATTTTCCGGTAAAAAAAAAATACAGGAATTTTCTGCAAATTTTGTTGCAAATATAATTTTCCATGAATTTATTTTATTTCATTCATATATTTTTGCAAATATAATTCTACAAGTAATATTTGTTATTATTTTAATAAACAAATGAAAATAGTCGTATCTTAAGTATTCTTTCAATTTTGCTACAGAACTTCCTGCATTTTATATTAGTAAAAAAACTAATTTAAAAAACACTTGTAGATTAATTTCCTATATATATACAGCTGATTTAAAAACCAACTAATCTACAATTTTTTTATACTACAAAAATACCATTATCACATTAAACAAAATTATCACAAAAAATTGAATGACAAGCACATCTAATACCATCAAGTAAGATGTTAATGACATATTAAACTCTATTGATGAAAATGATTAAAGATTAATTTAAAATCTTAATCGCTTGTGTCAACTGATACTTATTACATAAATTTTTAGTAATTGATGCAAGTAATTTGACATTAATATGTAAATTAAGAAATATTTAATAAATATACATTTAAACTAAAAAAAATTATTTAATACTTTATAATCAATTTCATTAGAAGAAGTGTCTATTAAATAGGAATATAATTTAGAGAGAACAAATTAATTAATTAGATTTTAAAATTTTAAAAAAAATAATTATTTTGAAAAATAAGATTAAAAAGACTAAAGATATGGAGTAATTATTAATTCTTTGTGATATTTTTTCGTTAATAGTGTTAATTGATTAATAATAATTTATGATAGATATAATTTTAAAATGTTTGCTATAGAAGATTAAAGATAATTAAATTTTCCGTGCATAATTGTAATTGAATATGACAGTGAAACCTTTTTCTCTTTCTTCATTGAGTTTTGTTGATCATGTGACTCATTTATTATTTTAAGAATTTCGTTTCCCTAGACTGCTTAGCCTTGACAAAATGTTACTAATTTATTAATGGCGGTTGACATGAATTGCAAATTTCTTGGGGTTCTGCTTCTACACACAATAATTTTCATAACTTTAGTCAATTAGAAGACAACTATGATCATCAATGAGTTTGTGAAGCAGTAAATAATAAGAAATGGATTGGGTTCGTTGATTTTGCAATGATAAAATATGGAGGACACATACGAATGACAAGACTAGCACAACAATAATGGAAATTAAAGTTTTTACTAGCAATGTTCAAAGTTGAATAGAGAGAAAACAAGAAACCAAATGGATACATGGAAAACGAATGAACAACAACCTTCAATCTGGATCCTCTGTGATTGCCCTTTGACTCCCACTTATCTCGAAGCTTTTGTGTGTGTTCAATGGTGTCAAAAGACAGATGCATGTGTATTTTGGTACTAGGTCGACTAATCCGACGATGATGTTCGCTCCTTTGTGACACAACATATATTCAAACAAGTGTTGTAGTATGTAGCACATCCACTTCCAGTTTTTATCATTGAATTAAACTAAATTGGAAGATGAATGTTACGATGCACCTAATTGCACTTTAATTTCCATTATTTTTTCTTAAACCACATTTTACTCAAATTAAAATTTGCATGGATTTTCTTAGTTAAAAATTTTATTTTAAGAATGAATAATATATATTTATTACCTTCACAATAATCGCATTCAAACATTACAGTTATGATAAAAATATAAAAATACAAAAGGGTCAAATTGTATTGACAGATTATTACAACATGGGACTTTTGGTACTATTCATAATTTAATTCCCTTAAATTTATTTATTTATTTTCCTAAAGTTGGGTTAGCAATAATTGAGGAGGAACGTGGTAGTGAGTCTAATAATGAGAGAATTTATAACTTTACACCTAAATTAAGATGTAATGTTTTTGTATGCCTTGTCCACTTTACTACCGTTCCTTGATTGACATCATGCCCATTCCCCAATCACTCAAGCCCACCTTCTTTGGGCTCTTTGTCTCAGATAATCACCCTCTCATCGCAATTCTTTTAACTTTTATTTATTTATTTATTTATTTTTATTTTATATTCTTTTTTATCAACCCTAAATTACAATATCAGCAATACGTTCGTGTTTGCTTTTCTTAATTACTACTACTTCCATCTCACAACAATATTTTACATTTTTAATAAAATATTAGTTATATTTTTCTTAGTTTATTCTTTTATAAATTATTCCATCACTATTATTAAAAATAACACATTTAATTAAGAATAAAGGTTTTTATTTTATTAAATTATATTAAAATATATTTATTATCGTCTTTAATATATGTGGAAAAAATATAAACTTCAGATACTATAAGACGGAAAAAGTATTACATTAGTTTACTACAAACTAATATTTATATGAGAAATTCTATGGTACCCATCTTATTTGAGAGGGTACCGGTACAGTTTTTTATATTTTATATTTTTAGTAATTTATTTAAATAATATTATTTAAATAGTTTAATTTTAATAATTTTTTAAATATATTTTTATCTTTTCACTTAAAATTTTTGGATTTTTATATTTTAATTTTAATAATTTTTTAAGTATATTTTTTGTCTTTTTGTCTTAAAATTTTGAATTTTTATATTGTAATTTTAATAACTTTTTATTTCTACTATTTATTAATTTTTTTCTTTTTCTTTAATATTTTATAATATTATTGAAAACTTATAATTTTAATCTCTATAATTTTATTTTATTTTTATTTTATAAGTTAATTTGGATTATTCATTTTATAATTAAATTAATTTTTTTAAAATTTTTTATGAGTTTACATAGAAAAATGTATTGGAACCCCTCCATCTTTGAGGGTACCGTAGCAATTCCCTATTTATATAGTTATATAATTAGAAGAATTGAGCACATTTGAAGAGATTAATTTCGTACATTATAAGAAAGAGTCACTCAAACATGAGGTGAATAAAATTCTTACTTTTGACTTCTTTAAAAAAATATTTTATATTAATATTTATATAATTTTTTAAAACTTGCAACTTAAATGTCATTTTTATATAAATATAATTATTTTTTTTTAAATTCATCTCTAAAATATCTTTGTTTTTTTTATAAAAATAAAAATAATAATAATAATATTATTATTATTATTATTCTTAAATATCAATTTAAAATTTATTTTAGATCTAGAAAGATGTTGAACTCATCATCTTAATTATAAGTTAGGTTTATGATTATTAGAGAAATGATAAATATATGATTTTATAAATGCATATTAACAACTGTAAGGAAATGATTGCTTATCAAAAAAAAAAAAAAAACACTGTAAGAAAATGATTTCTATTCCTAACGATGGTCAAATATGTTCCCAGTGTGATTTAGATGATGTCTTATAGGCGGAGAAATCTATCTTATATGGATCTAAGAATTTTTAAATTGCGAGAACTTCCATTAAATGGCTCTAGTAACTTCCTTGTCCTTTTGAATCTAGAGTTGAAGCTTTATTCAAAATATTATCAACAATGATAGACTAATCAATAAATATTAGATATTCACGTTGAAATATACTCAAAATGAATTTTGTGATATTCAAACAAGCAAAATTTCTGACATAAAATATCACTATATTTTTATCTTTTTAATATTTATTATTAGAAACTTTTAACTAAATTTTTAAGTATTTATATTAATTGATTTTATAGAATTTATAAAATAAAATTACGATATATTAATTTTACCTTTTCCCTTATCATTGATATTAATAAAATTTATAAATCACAGGTGAAAAATTTAAGAAATGAGACAAAATATTTTTTTTTTATCAAATTTTCTTTTTATTATCTAACAACAATCATAATTTTTTATAAAGATAAAAAAATAAAACAAAAATTTATTTTAAAAAAATTGTAAAATATTTTATAATGAAAATTACTATTCTTTTCTAAAGTGTACCTTATAACAAGTATATCAACCCGTCATAGTTGTCACCCTAAAAAGAATTAATCATTACTCCTAGTAATAAAAATCAAATTATTAAGATATATAGAGTTAAACGAAGAAACGCACTACACACACACACATATATATATATATATGTGTGTGTGTGTGTGTGTGTGCGTGTCTGTACAGTAATTCCAAAAAAAAATTATCTCTAGTGTCACACTCATGCCAAGAACAACTCCTCATACCCAATCTTGATTTGCTTTCATACAGAGTAAGATCATCATAGTCTAAAATACTGTAGAAATAGAAAGGGAAAGTTAGAGTTAATTTTAAATTATTAATATTAATATTATTATTATTATTATTATTATATATAAACAATTATATAATATACAACATCAAACCATAATCATACATAAAAGTTACAACACTCAAAGCAAACAAGTATCTTATTAAAATCATGTCACACAAGACATCAACAATACATATGAACACACTCTCTTAACAACATGAGCAGTTTAAGTGATTTTCACCCTACTAAATTAACTCAATCATTTCATGTCCAAAGTGTTAACTCGATCACAGCAAAATGGGATACCAATTTCCTAGGTCTTATTACTTATACTAGGAAATTTTGATTCCACAATTAAGAATAGTACAACTGGGTATAGACTTATCATGACCTTGACATGCATCACTAAGTTACATATAAAATTTGCCCACTAATTATCCTCAAGGAACCACATAACCTTTTCAAGTACTTGGCTTAGGGTTGTAGTCTTTGACCTCTTACCTTACTCAACCACTAACAAAGGACCTAGATAAGACTCAACACACATCAAAAACTCACTCCAAGAGATACATATAATACTCAAAGAGGGTTTTCCAATAATGACATACCCAAGCACCACTCCAAGATACTTTATGTGGGATCTTCTATTTTTAAAATAATTTTCTCTCCTCAAGTCCTAAGTTAGCCAATACACTCTAATGCCACACCACATTCTCAAAACCTACACCTCACCATACATCTATTATATATATCACATCCAGTCAATGCATATAGAGATCAATAATATTAATCATGTATAGCATACCAATTCTTAACACCTTAACCAAAAATAGCATACCAAACATATATAGCATATCAATACTCATCACCATTTTAACTACACAAATATAGCATGTAGTAGACATAAGTATTCTATTAATGTTCATCGAATTCACCCATCATACAACATGTATTCACATACAAATTATCAAGATCACTTATCGTACAATGATAAACTTTTACATAAAACAATGCATAGAAAGTTATATTACTCCTATCATGTTCATCCTTATCTCATATGAAAGACAAAAAGATTTTCTACAACTTTCATGAAGACCTCAGATTTTAATTTCATCATTTACCATGTTGAAAATTATAAAAACCGCAACAAGTTGCTTAAATACTGATAGCTTGACCTTTACTTACTAAAAATGTCATAATTTGGAGTTATAGATCTCCTTTTTAGGTGATTCCAAATCCATTAAAAAAATTAATATCTAGGACTACAACTTTTATGAAGACAACAAAGTCTAAATCAGAAAACACCAAATCACTTAGCGAATTCCTTTCAAAAACTCCCATAATTCTGATCCCTAATTCCACTCAGCCATTTCAAAACAATTTAATTGTTTCCTTCCAAAGACACTCCTATTTTCCATTTTCAATTATGCTCAGTCATTTCAAAATGACTTAGTTGTTTCCTTCTAGGGACACCCTTATTTCTCATTTCCAATTCTACTTAATTGTTTCAAAATGGCTCAATCATTTCCTCCCAAAGACACCTCATTTCTCAATTCCGTTCAACTGTTTCAAAACGGATCAGCTATTTCATGATAGAGACTATCTTTATTTTTCACAATTTTGGAGTTTCAAACCTCTCCATTCCATCCCAAGCTTCCTACAAGCTCCAATCTCAATTTTAAACCATAAAACTCATCTAAACAACCGGAATACATCAATTTTCAATAACAAAATAACTCATAATAAGAATTTGGATGCAAAATCAAAGTTCCTCCCAAACCCCAAATATTACAAAAATCTATAAGAAACTAAGAACACCAAGGTTCCTTATAAATTAGTTTAACATTCAAACAATTACATCAATGAGCATTCATACCACACATGCAACATGAAAATCCACACAATCATTCACCAAGATCAAGTCTTAACTTCCCTTACCTTAATTTCGAACTCCCCGGAGGGGAAGAAAAGAGGAAGAGAAGAAAAAAGGAGAAGAACCCTGAAACTCCGATAGTTATACCACAACTCTTTTTATTCTTTATTGCCAAGCTTTGCGAACCCTTTATCACTATTAACCCATTTTCTACAACTCAGATGGATCTAAAAGAATAGGGGAGTTAATTTTGTAAAGAGTGAAAAAAAATTTCATTGCTACAATAATATTTGTAAAAGATATTATTTTAAAAAAAATTAAAAGAATTTTTAAATCATTTTAAACATGTTTAATATGGTCTCAAATGGTCCCTCGGACCACACCTCGGTGACATGTCATTTAATCTATTGCATGACTAATTACGGAAATTTAATTATATAATATAAATAAAATTGAATAAAAAAATCATATTAATCGTCCACTCATTTGTGGGAAGGCTTTTATATATATATATATA